CCGTGATTTATCGCACATATCATATATCCTTTTATTACCTCGATCTTTACAGATGTCAGGGTGGACTGGTAATACTGTTTTGACATCGCTAGCGCTTGCAGCATGTCTTGGACTCATAAGCGCAGCTGTTCCTGGTCCAATAGGTAAAAAAAAAGAATCACACTCTCACGTTTACGAGTATATCTGCGTTATTAGAAGATATAACTGATATACAGAATGCGTATACAATTATTCATTACATGCTTTAATTGTCAAAACATATATTTTCCTTTTTCCAGATCCGAGATACCCGGATTACATTGTGTACCCCCGCGTCCCGTGTGAGAAAGAAGGCGTGTTCCCCCATCCCAGAAACTGTTCGTGGTACTACAGGTAAGAATTCCTTCACAGTCACGTCATGATCATTGACAATGGTACCGAAGAAGGTAATGAACATTTAGCAGTGACAAATACCTGCTCAGTGAACTTTCTACAAACCATTTCCTCCTTCGCAACAGGTGCGTCGACAGGTTCGGCATCGGGTATTACTGGACGAGCCACTTCGAGTGCGAACCGGGGACGGTGTTCTCCGATGACCTTGACCAGTGCGTGTTCCCCTTTCTGACCGGACCGCCCTGTGGCACGGCTGGCCCTCGTGGACGGTCTTCCTCCGTCTACCCTTCCACCTACCAACCCACCATCGCCCTTCCGCTGCAACTACCCTTCCACCTACAACCGCAGCCCATCTACCCTTCCACCTACACCGCAAGCCCATCTACCCTCCCTACAACCCAATCTACCTTTCCTACCTTACAACCGCAAGCCCGTCTACCCTTCTACCCTTTCGTCTACCCTTACAACCGACCTACCGTCTACCCTTCCACCTTCTTTAACCCTTCCACCTACAACCGGTCTACCCTTCCACCTACAACCGCAACCCCGTCTACCCTTCCACCTACAACCGCAAGCCCATCTACCCTTCCACCTACAACCGCAAGCCCGTCTACCCTTCCACCTACAACCGCAACCCCGCTACAACCGCCAGCCGTCCACCTACAACCGACCTTCCAACCTCTATCTACCCTTGCAACCGCCAGCCCGTCTACCCTCCACCTACAACCGCAACCCCGTCTACCCTTCCACCTACAACCGCAACCCCGTCTACCCTTCCACCTACAACCGCAACCGTCTACCCTTCCACCTACAACCGCAACCCCGTCTACCCTTCCACCTACAACCGCAAGCCCGTCTACCCTTCCACCTACAACCGCCAGCCCGTCTACCCTTCCACCTCCCTCAACCACAATTCCATTTACCACAACCCCCAGTCCACTCCCGCCAGTCACCAACCCACCCACCATAACCACACCTCGTCCGGTTACAGTCATCGACAATTTCTCCGTCAAGTGTTCCCATGACAACCAGAGACCCGAGAAGCCATGGCCGACGAAGCGCTACTGCCAAGCCTTCGCCCTCTGCTCCCCAACTGGGCAGTTCCTCGTAAGTACCGGGACAGTTTCTGAAGTCGAGCTCTTGTGCTCTCAGGCCACTCGTCGTATATCCAGGTCGTGTATTCGATGTAGAGGTATTTCTGATTCGTCTTTGTCTCTGTTTCTGTGGGGTAGTCTGTCTGTCTCTGTCTGTCTTTTTGTCTGTCTCTTTGTTTCTCTGTCTGTCTGTCTGTCTGTCTGTCTGTCTGTCTGCCTGCCTGCCTGCCTGCCTGCCTCTGCCTGCTCTCTCTCTCTCTCTCTCTCTCTCTCTCTCTCTCTCTCTCTCTCTCTCTCTCTCTCTCTCTCTCTCTCTCTCTCTCTCTCTCTCTCTCTCTCTTCCATGTTTGAGGATGTGATTGAGAACGATATTCATTAAATATCTATTTTCTTTTCTTTTTTCTATGAATCGAAAAATCTTTGGCTGTTGGTTCCTTTAATCAGAGTAACCCCTTAGAATATTCTTATAATGACTATTATTTATTTCCATAGGGTGAGCTGGACCTGTGTGACTATTATTTCATGTGTGTTCTCTATTTCCACAGGGTGAGCTGGACCTGTGTGACTATTATTTCACGTGTCGCCTGCAAGAGGACGGGTCGTGGAAAGCGGAGTTAGAGAGATGCCCCGGAAACGAACTCTTCGACTATGAAAAAGACGAATGTGTTTTCCCGCCTGCAGGTAGTGTGTGTGTGTGTGTGTGTGTGTGTGTGTGTGTGTGTGTGTGTGTGTGTGTGTGTGTGTGTGTGTGTGTGTGTGCGTGCGTCTGTCAGTCTGTCTGTCTTTCTCACTGTCTGCTTGTTTTTTCTATTTATCGGTCTGTCTTTCTGTCTATTTGTCTGTATCCTTGGACAGTATAAATGTTTGTAAAGAAAAGAATAGGCTAACTGTACAATTCTCGCACATGAACAAATATCTATTAACAATGTTTATCCCCTCCCATTTCCAGTATATGAAATGGGAACTAAGGAATAAACTCCATAGGATTAGACTATGATATGGAGACTTCAAACATCTAATTTGAGCAAAATCTACATTTCAGATGAATCTCTGTGTGGATGACTACACATAATCTCCAGGTTCTGAGCATGGAGAAAAGGACGAAAAAGAAGAAGCATGGTTTCAGTCCGACACAGGGAGCAGCTGATAGATATTTTACGTTTTATTATGGATGTCTACCTGTTTCATGTGTCGCGTTTTGTCCTTCTTTTCCTTTTTCAAACTTTTCTTTTTTCAACTTTTCTGTATCTTAGGTGTGATAATGAGAAAAAATGTTTAGATTTGGATACAGATTATACATATGCTGGTACATATTGATCTGTATCTGTTTTTATTTGATATGTATTTATCTATTTATCGTATGCATAAGCACACAAGCATAGTCACACACACACACACACACACACACACACACACACACACACACACACACACACACACATCCGTACACTCAAGCACGTATGTACGCATATGTGCGTATATACTCATATGTGTCACTTTAAAAGGGCAATGCCTTGAAAATATAGTGATTTTTATTTTGTTGAATAGCGGTCTACGGTTATATAACTTATTTTTATTGTTTATAGATATTTGAATGGTTGCGATATTTTATCTTGTTATAAAAATGACCTCGTGCATCTTGTTACGTGGCATTTATTGAAATATTTATTGTTATAGATAAGGACTGCTTCAGTCACCTATCAGCGGTATAGGTGTGATAGCAATTTGTCGATAATAAAGACCTGGCCCTGTTATTGTCCATATCCTTTCCACGAGTTTTAATGATGATAATGAGAACAAAGTGCAACGATGGTAATGATAATAAGAGTGAGAACATTAATGATAGCGATACTGATGATGGTGGTATAGCAGTGGGGACAAAATTATTATTTGGTAATGGCAACGATGATGATAGTGGTTTTGATGATCAAGTTGGTAATAATAATTCTAAAACGATGAAAATAGGAATAAGGATAACATGATGTTATTTTTATAGCAATCTTAGTTTAACAACGTGGGATAAAATGATAATGATAATGATGAGGTTGAAATGATGATATTGATGATAATCATAGCAATAACTATAATCCCATTATAATGATCAAAATGACTATGGCAATGAAAATGATTATGATAATACCATTACTTATAATTCCGATAACAAAGATTGATATACGTAATAACAATGATGATAAGTATATCAATAATGAAAAATATAAGAATAAGAACATGACTAAGGATAAAAAGAAAATGACAAAATTATGTGTGTATGTATCGTGCACTCCCATATACACACACTTAAACGAAGACGCACACAAACATAAACACACATATACGCACACACACACATACAGACACATATGCACACACAAATAGACAAAGACACACTCACGAACACATACATTGACACCACACACACACACACACACACATACATACACTTGCCCAAAAACATACACAGACATACATATACACACACATACACATACACACACGCATTTACATGCACATCAGATATACAAAGATATACAATACACACCACACACACACACGAAGAAAAATAGGTAATTAAATACCATTTCCAATGCCAAACCATCCCCCTCCCCCAACGATGGCCCAGTGGGTTATGGCGCCCGATTCGAACTCACGGTCGCGGGTTCGAAACACAAACAACGAGCTCCTGCTGAGTGCAAAGCCGCCCGGGGATGAAAGACATGAAAAGCCCTAGGCGATAAAATATATGTACAATAAAGACACCTATTTCGCAATAGGTTTTATAAATTTATATGAAAATGAACAAATCATGATTAGGGAGGTCGTCCACTCAAGCAAAAACAGCAATGATAATAATAGTAATAATACTGAATGATACTGATAAATATAATAACAAATATATAATATACATGTATATATATATACATATATACATACATATATATTCATATATTCATACATATGTATCAGTAACAATAATAACATTAATAAGAGTAATCGCACCACTGCAACAACAATAATAGTGATGATCGTAAAGCAAAAACACCAATAACAACAATGATAACATTTTTTCTAAGCACATTAGCCCCTCACAAAAACTCATTTTCAAAATCCGTCACCAAATGGAGCCAACAAAAGGCTTTATTTACAGCGTAAATACTTGGAGCATCGGCGTCAAAACTCTGTGTGTGTGTGTGTGTGTGTGTGTGTGTGTGTGTGTGTGTGTGTGTGTGTGTGTGTGTGTGTGTGTGTGTGTGTGTGTGTGTGTGTGTGTGTGTGTGTGTGTGTGGTGTGTGTGTGTGTGTGTGTGTGTGTGTGTGTGTGTGTGTGTGTGTGTGTGTGTGTGTGTGTGTGTGTGTGTGTGTTATTCAAAATCGAATTGAAGTGTTTATTTCATGCTTAATTTGCGTCTCCATTTCCAAAGATCTCCCTTTCTCAGTACTAAACCTAAAATCACCGATCTCTACACGTGACTGAATATACTAGAAGTAGTGATGGCGCACGGCTAAATACTTAAGTTACCGGTCACAAATTTTCATTTTCTTTGATACCATCAGAGTTCAAGAAATTGCATTTTCTTTGATTAAAATACAACCTAGAGGGGTAACCTGTGTGTGCGTCTGTATGTATGCATTTATATGTATAAAATTGTACATATTCATATATAAGGACACACACATATTCATATATATATGTATCGCATGTGTGTGTATATACACTGGATACAGACACACACAAACACACAGACACCCACAATATATTTAACAGACATATATAACATACAACACATACATCATATAACATAATATATACACAATACACACACACCACACACATATATATACATATTACATACACATATATATATATATATATATATATATATATATATATATTATATATATATATGTATGTTAATATTATGTATGTAGTATATATATATATATATAATTATATAATATATATAATACTATATGGTGTATGTGTGTGGTGTGTGTGTGTGTGTGTGTGTGTGTGTGTGTGTGTGTGTGTGTGTGTGTGTGTGTGTGTGTGTGTGGGGTGTGTGTGTATTTCTATATATACATACATACATACACACACACACACACACACAAACACACACACACACACACACACACACACACACACACACACACGCGCGCACACACACGCGCACACACACGCTCACGCACACACACGCACACACACACGCACACACACACACACACACACACACACACACACACACACACACACACACACTCACACGCACACACATCACACGCCACACGCACACGCACACGCACGCACACACACAACACACACACACACGTGTGTCTCTGTGTATATTTATATGCATATGTAAAAATGTATGTATGTCTATAATGTATGTATGTATGTAATATATATAT